TGTCAGAAAAAGAATTAGGTACCGGCCAATTAGCAATGGCTGCAACCTTGCGTTGGTCCACCAAAACACCATCGGCTGAAATTATGAATCCCAAAAAATAGACATTTGAAAAAACAAACTGACACTTGGATTCATTTAAATAGAGTTTGTTTTGTTTCAATGTTTCAAAAATGGCTGTCAGATGCTTGATGTGATCATCCAAATTTAAGCTATAAACTAAGATGTCATCAAAATAGGCAACATAATTTGTTAAGGAAAGGTTTTAAAATTTTATTCATTAATCTCATGAATGTAGAAGGTGCATTGCACAAACCAAATGGGAGAACTCTCCATTCAAATAGCTCTTGCCACATTTTGAAAGAAGTTTTCCACTCGTCACCTGGTTTAATTCTTATTTGATGATAGCCATTTTGGATATCCAACTTTGAAAAGATTGAGTCACTCACCAAATTTTCCAGCAGCTCTTCGACCCGCATAACATGAAATCAAAAGTTTATTGTTATTCCATTGATTGCGCGGCTGCCATACACAACCTCCACTTACCATCCTTCTTCGGTACAAGCAACGCCGGCACAGTGCAATGACTCAAACTTAGTTGATTCAACTATTTTTCCAGCAATTAATCAACCATTTGCTACATGATTTCCTGCTCTTTAGGATTCGTTCAATAGTGAGGAATGTTTGGCAGCACTGACCCTGGGATAAAATCAATTTGATGTTGTAGTGCCCTGAGTGGAGGCAAAGTATGTGGCATTATTTCTGGTAGAATTTCTTTAAATTTTTAAATAAATTGCTGAATAACTGCAGGAGTGCCTTGAGAATTAATATTCTCACTTTGTTCCTTAACCACCAAAGCCAATAAAATAGAAGTTTCCTTCTATGCATACAATAAGGCTGATCCCGTGACTAGTTGCATAGTAGATTTTTCACTAGATACTGAAAAGCTGTCGGATTGTTGGGATATTAGTTTCAGCCTTTTTCCCTTCCAATCTAGAGAATATGTATTAGCTCTTCCGTCATAAATAACACCTTCATCGAACTTCCACACGGTCGGCCCAAAATTAAGTGACATACATCCATGTCTACTACATCACATAAGATCTCACAAATATAGTGCTTCCCGATTGAGAAAGTGAGGCGACACATTTCTGTAACTGAAATATCCATTCCCTTCTTTACCCAACTTATCTTGTATGGGTGAGGATTTTTTGTGGTTTTCAATTACAAAGCTTGCACCATAGATCGAGACACGACATTCTCGATGCACCCATTGTCAATCAAAAGTTGACACACCTTGCCCTTAACAGTACACTTGGTCCTAAAAATAGTATTGCGTTGAGAATTATTTGGTTGCCATCGAGCTAATAGCAGCCATTCTATAACACAAATAAGTTGTTCTCCTTCATCCCCAACTATATCTTCTGGTTCTTCTTCCTTATTATTTTCGGAATGTTCTCCCTCCTCATCAGCCTCAACCTCGAGAAGCTGAATTTATTGTCTCTGCGAGCATTCGTTTGACTTGTGACCTTGTTGGAAGCAACGAAAACATTTGATAGTAGACGATCTGGCATATGGATTTTCTTTAAATGGTACTTTGGCCTTTGGCTGACCCTTTGGATCTACTGGCGTAGATGTCTGCACAATAGGCTATGGCAAAGAAGGTGTTTGTTTGTTAGTAATTGTAGTTCTAAAAGTGTCATTAAACTATTTTGAATAAGACCTTCTAGTTGGTTGATGTCAGGAATGCCTAGGAAGTTGGATTTCAGCCTTGAGCACGAATTGACAGCCTGTGGCAACGTCCAAACTGAATTAAGCTCAAGTTTATCTTGGATGGACTCTTTCAAACCCCCGATATAACATGCAACCAATTGATTATGCCATGATGCCAAGCTCTGATACCAAAGCTGAAGCAACGCTTGTGGAAGAAGCAGAAAAGAATGGAAAACAGAGACATAATGCAAGTCATTTATAGAAATTAGCAATCTAAAGTCTTCCTTCTCTAAGCAAGAAAACTATATATATGAGGCTTAGGCAGTTGCAGCCACCAAGCCACTACATTCTAAAGGAAGAAACAACAAAAGTGCTTTCGTACTAATAGAATGAAAATTCAATGCTAAATAAAACAGAACGATGCTGAATAACAACTAAGAATAAAATGATAAGATAGTCTGGAGGTGAAGTTAAACTATGATGCTCCGCATCAAATCTCCCCTGCTGAAAAAGGGCTGTTCAACGTAACAGTTGGTGCTTCATCAGGTGGATGATACGGGATGATGTCTGCAACATTGAAGGTATATGAAGTATTTAGTCGGCGGGCATGTCTACGACATAAGCATTATTGTTTATCTTCTTTAACATTGGTATTGGACCAATTTTGTTATGACTAAGTTTATAATAGGTTCTGGGTGCGATTCGTTCACGCCTCAACCGCGCCATTATCAAATCTCTTGGAGAAAAATTTTGCTCATGGCTGTGCTGGTTGACGGCCTGCTTGTATTTACTGTTAGATTCATTTATCTTGTCGCAGACGTCCTTTAGTATGGTGGAAAACTGGTCTGTTAGAGACGCAGCAACGGTACTCTTGCATTTGGGAAGCATGGCAATGTCGACAATGTGATTAGGAGTCTTAGTATAAACTATATTAAAGGGGCACTTACTTGTAGATCGATTATACATTGAATTATAAGCAAATTCAACTTGAGCCAAGAGGTCATCCCAATATTTCACATGCTCCTATACCAAGCAGCGAAGCATATTGCCTAACGTTCAATTGACAGCTTCGGTTTGGCCATCTGTTTAAGGGTGATATGCCTAGCTCAATTGGATGTTTGTGTTTAGTTGTTTCCATAATTCTCTCCACAAGTGGCTGATAAATTTTACATCTTGATCGGAAGTAAGACTTCTTGGTCTGATATCAACTAATGTTGGTACGATGTTTGAACGTGGACTGTGGGCCGCACAATCTTAAGTTGTACCGGAGGGGAATCGTGGCCGAGCAAGTCTGACCACAGGTTACATGCAGGAGCGAAGGTGGAGGTGGTTGCATGCTCGAGTGAAGGGGAGCCACATGATGTTTGTTCTGCGGGTACTAATTGCATGCCAGAACGGATTGAGGGGAGATACATGTGGTTTGGTCTACATGTATTTGTTGCATGTTAAATCGGACGGGAGCCACGGGCAGTTTGATCTATGGGTCTCGCATGGCAGTGGAGGCAGAGCCAGTTATATGCGAAAGCAGAGGAGGCTGATTTTCCGGAATGGTTGTCAACAATGGGGGTTGGTTCGTCGGTATGGTTGTTGGCTGATATATGTGGTCAGAACTTTGACTCATATTATCATCATCAAGTACACTTTTTAAGTTCGTCATTCTTAATGAGTCTAAGCTTGAATTCTAATTGATGTAAATCATTGAAGAAGGAGAAGTAAAATTGCTCAAAAGAAAAAAAATGTAATTCTAAAAGTATTTATATCTCTTCTCTTTCTACTATACTAGTTATAAAATAGCAATAAAACTTTCCACAAAGTTCTAGAAAATTGATACAAAACACATGCATAATATTCCGAAGATGCACCACATCACTATTTCTTTTTTTTTTAATATATATTTTTAAGAGTCAAAATAGATATCCACTACAATATTAGGCTTATGAAGGCATTCTGGACGTGGGTAAAAGATGTACTGAGTTCCTTGGGGAGAGAGTGCTACAGATGCTGAGTTAGAAAAGCAACAAAATGCGCATGAGCAAATTTTTTTTTTTTTTTGACCCGTCTCATAAATAAAGATGAAAGTATTAATTTCTTAGGATTTATAAATATAAAGAATAAATGAGGGGATGCATGTAAGGAATTAATGTTTTATATTCTATTATTCTTTGAAGGGAGTTAACCATCACAAGTTGCTACATAAAGTTAATGAGAACTTATATAAGTCTAATGAACATACTCATTCACATCCCATCATATTTAAGTTTGTAAGTCAAATTAATATGACTCGCATACATAACAAGTCATACCATGTTGAATTATGATACACAGAGCTCAATATCAAAGTTTTGGAGATATTTTTTCTGAATTAAACTAGACCATAAAGCTTCTAATTAACTTCTAGAAAACATAAAAAATACTCATCCATAAATTTCTATTATTTTCATTTATCATCAAAATGTATATACAATAATTATATATTATAATGCTTGTCTATTGATCATAACAGAGCAAGTAAATAACTAGTCATGATTGTACCCAAATTTAGAAAGTATATTTACAGACTCAGTCATATCAGATCCTGAATCCTCAAGTATTCAACTGGCTATTTTCCTTTTCCCAAATCTGAAACAGAGAACAAAATAGGTGTGAGGCAATACGAACTTTTATTTTATCCAGTGAACGTACGCTCCTCTACGTTCGTATCTAGGCAAAAAAAGCGCAATACCGAGTACCGAGTTGTACCGAGTTTTTTAAAAAAACTCGGTATTGCACTGTTTTGATCTAAAACCGAACGTAGAGGAGCGTACATTAATTCACTGGATGTAATAAAAGTTCGAGGCAACACAGCTCAACAGGTTATACCCATTTATCTAAAATTTAATAATTTATTTATCGTGCATTTAATTGAATTTAAAGGCATTTTATAAGAAATTTATTCTATTAGACATAATTTTAATTTCATATAACTCAAATAAGGCAAATTATACTCTAAAAATAAATAAACAAATACTTCATATATTATATACATTTGAAATATGAAAATTTAATTGATCGTATTGCACGAACCTTTTCATATTGTGCGAAATTTAGGTGCTATTTAGTTAACTAAAAATGAAATGCAACGAAAAAATAATACTTTGGAGTTGTTTAGATAAGTTAGCATAAATTTAAAAATCAAAATACAGTTTTAATACCCATATTTTAATATAATATAAGTATTAAAATATAAATTAAATAAATATTTAAATTTAAATTATATATATATATACAGGTCGTCGTCGCACCGCCGTGGGTCAAGGGCATCCGAGTGCCGGCAATGGAAAGTGAGAGAGAGCGGAAGGAGCACCCTCCATCTCTCTTTTGGTGCCAAGCAAGAACGAGGAACCCTAACCCCTGTATGTATATTCCTCAAATGAAATCCTAAAACCCTACAAACTGAAGCAAGAGTCCTAAATCCCATCGGCGGCGAGGGCCTGAATGTTTTCGTGCAAAAAGGTTCGAATTTTATCTCCTTTCTTGCTCTTCCTCCCGTTGAAATCCTACGCGAAACCTCCATGCTGTTTATCATTGCAAACAATTGAAAGTCTCTCGTATTTTTCGAAGCCTCATCTCCTCCGTGAAACATGCCTTGAATTTAGCAGGCAGTTCTCTTGTTCTGCTGCTCCTATCTACATGAAACTTCTTCTGGACAACGTAGTACACGGTATTGGCAGTCTAGAAGACATGGAGATCAGACTCGAACAAATGAACATGAGGGTTACCCCTGACCTAGCCACCAAAGTCATCCATTCTTGCAAAATCCTTTCTGCATCAACCAGTATTGGCAGTGGCAGAAGCAGGAGCAGAAGGCTTCTGCGTTTTTTCATTTGGTGTCTTCGCAGCAGAGATGAGGACTTTGGGGTCGATGTTTTCAACTGTGCAATCCGGGCATTCACTGAGATGAAGGATCTAACTGCCATGGCGATATCCATTTCTGAGCTTCAGAAGATGGGATGCAGGATGGATGCCGAAACCTTTGTCATGGTAACTGACACTCTTGTTAAGGCCGGCAAGGTGGATGAGGCTATTCTGTTGTTCAGGAACGTGGTGGAGAAGAAGATGCCATATGAAGGGGATAATTTGCCTTGCATCACAGCAATTGTCCATGCCCTTTGCAGCAAAGGGTATGCAAGGAAGGCTGAAGGTGTTGTTCGCCGTTACAGGGACAAGCTACAGGAGGAGAACATTGGAACCATTTACCGGAGCCTTCTTCATGGATGGTGCATTTATGGGAATGTAAAGGAAGCCCAAAGGATTTCAAAGGAGATGAAATCAATTGGGATTAATCTTGGTTTATCATCCTACAATGACCTTCTTCGCTGCATTTGTAATCGAAATCTTAAGTTCAATCCATCTGGACTTGTCTCAGAAGCAACTGATTTGATGATGGCCATGAGATCATCTGGTGTCACCCCAACCACTGTTAGTTTCAACATTTTGTTATCTTGTTTAACCAGAGCTCGTAGGGTGAAGGAAGCTTGCGATATCCTTTCTTCAATGATGCATGGAGAGGTGAAATCTTCCCCAGATCAGGTAACATATTATCTAGTCCTCAAAGTCCTGTATTTGACAAATAGGATTACTAAAGGCAATAGAATTTTGGATAAGTTGATTAGTAATGGAGTAATGGTTGAAGCTCGGTTCTTTCATTGCTTGATTGGCATTCTTTGTGGAATCGAAAATGTAAACTGCGCTGTAGAAATGTTTGAGAAGATGAAAAGTCAATGTAGGGAGAACTTAGGACCAACATATGATTTATTGATTGAGAAGCTTTGCAGAAATGGAAACTTTGATTTAGGAAAACATTTTTATGATGAGGCAATAGAGAATGGTGTTGTACTCAAAATTTCAAGTGATTTACTGGATCCCTTGAAGACCCAAGTGTTTAAGCCAGCAAGATCACAAGAAAAGATCATCCTGGGTGAATATAAGGGCAAGGTACTTCTTAGACGTAGAAGAGTGATTGAAACCACACGCACTCTTCTCCACGCAGCTCACCTTCCCTTTCGTTTCTGGGCGGAAGCACTTCAAACATCAAATTACCTCATCAATCGACTCCCAACCTCTGCTCTAAACTCCAAAATCCCATACTCTCTTCTTCACGGTCGTTCTCCCAACTACGAACACCTCAAGTGCTTCGGCTGTCTCTGCTTTCCCTGGCTTCAACCTTATACACCTCACAAACTTACCCCTCGATCTCTTCCATGCATATTTCTGGGTTACTCTCCTCATCATAAGGGCTACCGCTGCTTTCATCTTCCCACCAACAAACTTTACATATCAAGACACGTCAAATTCCTAGAACAACAGTTCACTTTCTCTTCAACTTCACCACCTCCCATACAGTCCCCCAGAGCTTACATCCCTCCATCCCTTCTTCTTCCTACATCCACCCTAACCACACCAGCTAATCAACCATCCCTCAACACTCCTACTCCATCCACTACATCATCCTCTCCTAATCTTCCTCCTGAACCTCAGGACATACCTTCCTCCTCTCATCCCGAACCCAGAGCACACCCACCCACCGCACATCCCATGGAAACAAGATCTAAAACTGGCCACTCTAGACCCAAGAAAATCTATGATCTACTTGCTGTTGAAGATATCTCCTCTACCCCGTCCAACTACAAGGCTGCTGCCATCCATCCTCACTGGCAAGAAGCCATGTCATTGGAAATAGAAGCTCTTCACAACCAACACACATGGACTCTTACTCCACCGCCTCTAGACGCCCCTGTGCTTGGATGTCGGTGGACATACAAAACCAAGACAAAACCAGATGGCACTCTCGACAGACATAAAGCCCGGCTGGTGGCGCAAGGCCATACCCAACAATATGGCATTAACTACAAGGATACATTTAGTCCCGTGGCTAAAATGCCCACAATTCGGATATTGTTGATCATCGCACTCCAAAGACATTGGCCTCTATTACAATTTGATGTCAACAATGCATTTCTCCATGGTGATCTCAAGGAGGAAGTCTATATGCAGCAACCACCCGGCTTCATAGATCCAGCTCGTCCCAATCACGTCTGCAAACTTCACAAGGCCCTCTACGGCTTGAAACAGGCTCCTCGATAGTGGTTCCACAAGCTGACAGGTTTTCTCGTCAAATTCGGGTTCTGTTTCAGCCGTGCCGACTCCTCCATGATGGTCTACAGTCACGGCCCTACACAGCTTTATATAATCATCTATGTGGATGATCTATTGCTGACTGGTAATCACCAGCCCACCATTGACCTCCTACTCCAAGGACTACATGCCACATTTAATCTTCGACAAATGGGGCAAGCCAACTTGTTTCTTGGCATTCAAATCGCCTACACCAAGTCCGGAGCTTTTCTTCATCAATCCCATTATGCGCGGGACATCTTACTTGCATCGGGCCTTCAAGACTGTAAATCAGCCAGCACTCCTATCATCACGGCTGGACACTCTGCATCATCTAATCTCCAACCATATGATGATCCCAAACTTTACAGACAACTTGCAGGCTCACTGCACTATCTTACGATCACTCGTCCTGATCTCTCTTTCGCTGCCAATGTGATCTGCCAATCAATGCACAATCCCACGATCACTGACTTCCTCAAGCTCAAGCGGCTCATAAGATACATCAAGGGAACACAACATCTGGGACTTCCGATCTCTCCAGGCTCCCTTGAACTAACAGCCTATTGTGATGCTGACTGGGCAGCTAACACGACAGACCGAAAATCAATTTCGGGCTTCTGCACCTTTCTCGGATCGAACCTAGTCTCTTGGAGTGTGAAGAAATAAACTACGGTGGCAAAATCTTCAACTGAAGCAGAATACAGAGCTCTGTCATCTGCCCTCTCCGACGTGATCTGGTTAAGACGCCTGCTATCTGACTTCCATATTCCTCTCAATTTCCCCACTACGATGCTCTGTGATAACCTCTCGGCGCTAGCTCTAGCTCACAACCCTGTTTTCCACGCTAGAACGAAACATATCGAAGTGGATCATCATTTCATATGTGATCACATTCAAAAACAAACCGTGGTTGTCTCGCACGTCTCCTCAGATGAACAGCTCGCCGACATTCTCACCAAGCCGCTACCAGTCACCCGCTTCATCACTCTACGCAACAAACTGGGCATCAGTACACTAGATGCTCAGTTTGAGGGGGCATGTAAAGATAATATCAAAACTGCACATGGCTAAGGCCATTTCCACTACTCTGCCTTTTCTTCCCTCTCTCTCTCACCGTACGGATGTCACTTTATCTGACATCTAACAAACTCTAATGATGTTCCATTGGCTTATAAAAGCCTAGAGAGAGTATAATGAAATTAGGCTTTTAGACTCATGAAACACAGTTCATCGTCTTCCTCATTTTCTCTTCTATTCTGTTGCTGTTCTTCTCTAGTTTTCTTCATAAACATTCTTTTGTAGTCTTATTTTAGTAAATTTATAATTGAAATGAGTGTTTCAATGAGATTTTAGTCCAACATAAAAATAAATCAATCACTTAAAAACTTTATTTTGAAAAAGCCGTTGGGTCAACTCTCACACCACAGCCATAGATCTCCCATCAAACGGTCATAAAAGTACTCCAAAATGGCGGCAAATGGCAGTATAACTAACTGTTTATCTCCGATGGCCGTTAGTGTAACCGGCCGTGGTTCTTCTCGCGTTGTTCATCCTATTCAGGTCGGAGCTTTACTTTCTTTTGAGCATTTGGCCTCCTCGATCCAGGTACCTTTTTAATTTTTCTTTGATTAGATTGTCCAGTTTGGGTAATAAAGCTAGCGTTATTAAATTAATTTCTTTTTGTTTGAATTATGTGAAGATCTATGCCGATTTGAAGCTGTTGAAGGCCCAGTTATTGGTCGTCTCAGTTTTGTAGTCATTTCCACCATAGATTTTGTTTTTTTGGACAAGAAAAAGCCCAGCAATAGAGCTCTCTTACTGCTAGCTGTTCGTGCTTTTCAAAATTAAAAAAAGATTTCGATAGCAGCAGATCTCAGTAGTAGTGGAGATAGAGGTGTTAATCTTGGTCATATTAGTTATTGTCACTGTTTCTTAAATTCTTTAAGCTAATTATTTCTTTTGTTTGAATATTAGGAGGGATGGATCACTTCGAAGTGGATTCGGAAGTAGCTGAAGCCCTCACTGGCTTCCTCAACGACGACGACCCTTCTCTCCATTCCATTGACACACTCTTTCAAAACGACGACTTCATGGCCGGCTACATTCAACAGCAACCACCACCGCTTTTAGAGCAGCAGCCGCCACCACAGCTTTTTGAGCCAAATGTATATCCTACATTGGCTCCTGGCTGCAGTGCTCCTCCTCCTAGTTTGTCAGTTCAGAGTGTGGCAGCAAGGAAGCGGCGAATGCGGATCAGCGGGAAGACGCAGGAGCTTGCCCGACATATCCCCGGCGGCGTCAAGTTGAGCACTGCGGATATGTTTCAGTCTGCATATAAATACATAAAGTTTCTTGAAGCCCAGCTCGCTGTTCTTGAACTAACCACTCCCAGTGTGCAGGAATGCGGAAGTAGAAAGGAAGATGAATATTTGCATGCATTGTTAGCTTCTCTGACATTGCAAGAGAAGTTGGCAGTGCAAGGGATGTGCCTCGTGCCTTTATATGAGTTGCCTTAAGGAATCATGTATAGATCAATACCTTACACAGTACTTCAGCTTGTTTTTTACCTTTTAAACCATTATTTAGTTGTTGGGACTTTTTTTATTTTTTTGTAATTGTTGGGACTTTGTACAGAAGTTATTATTGATCAATTTAGTAGCTGGAAGCATTAAAATCATTCTTAGATTTTTCATATATATGCATCTCTTTCTATAATTCACCGCCTGAAGAGTTTAACATTAATAAATATGTTTAGCATTTATTATTATTATTATTATATTTAAGTTTAATAAATTTAGTTTAAAGTAAATATTTTGAGAGGTTATTTTGTTTGGAGTAAATTGAATGCAGATGAACTATTTTTTTTATTTGATTGGATGTATGCTAAGTAAAATCAGTGCATCATGAACTATTATTTAGTTGGTTTGTTGAGTGACTGCATAGTAAAGTAAAAATATTCTAATTTGATTAAAAATATTTAAATTTTAATTTCACATTAATAATTATAATTTTATGAGATTTTGAACATTTTATATACATTAATAAAATATATTGCTAGATAAACTATCATGACTTTGTACTTTTCAACAGATTAGCAGCATATCAGTTGAGAAAATATTACTAGATGAAATTCATAGCATGCCAACTCTTTTCAGTATAATAAAGCTTAATAGAGTTTAGTTAAAAACTATAATAAAAAAATTCAAAATATTAATAATGTCAAACCAAATAATTAATCAACACTCAACAAACTTTATGAAAATTATAACAGTATTGTTTGCATTCAAAAAGAAGTCCTCATTAATTCTCCTTATATATGTTATCATCACCCACGTAAGCATTCATGGCAAAAATATCTGCAATTATAAAACAATAATAATACAATTATAAAACAATAATAAAACTGATGAAATTGTTTAGGAATGTTCTAGTAGAAAGGGTTAAAAACACAACATACCAATTTCTTTCTTCTAATCCAAATGAATCATTTGATCAATTCCTTTCGCATCTATTGAGATTTTGATTCTATAGGTATGGAGAGAAAGGAATGAATCATTGTTGTGTTTTTGATAAGTTAAATTATCATATATAGCATCAATCGTTTCCTCTGAAAATCCTGAAATGCTAGATAACTATGTCATGAGCTCACTAAATATTTTTCTTTCCTTAGAAGCTTTTTTTTTTTTGGATAAAACCCACCTCTGGGGCCTACGCGTTAATATCACAAAAATCGGTTACATAGTCCTTAAAAGGTTCCTCCAGCTCTCTAATGCTCGCATGAGCTACAATTAAAAAGAAAAAGAAAAACAAACAGCTTATGAGCCGGAGGATCCTTTTTCTACGATTACAAAAATAATAACGGAAATAGTACGGGCTGTGAGACAACAGCACCCAAAAAAGGAAGAGCAGAATGGTCCCTTTCAGCTCAGTCTTCCTGCAAAAAACCTGAAGATAATAGAAATAGAAATACCAAAAAGAAAAAGAGAATACCTTGCGGTCACTGACGCTCGTAACACGAAGTTTAATTTGATGCCTGCAAGGAATTCTCCAAAATACATCAAGAGAAATAAAGTAGATAATAGAAGTAATAAAAATCCCAGTGTTATCCCTATCAGGCCACGATTTCAATATAACATTAGACATTCTAGCATTGGACATCCTAATAAAATCCTGCAGACAACCAATACAGCCATTGCCGAGAAACGGAATACTCCAGAAGAAATACAACACAGCTAAAACCATCCACCAGTCCACCCAGTGCAATAACAGGCCAAAGGATAAACCAACTCCTAGCCAAAGTAATCCACCCAGCAAAGAAAATATACCAGAAACTCCAGCTAACCAACCTGCAAACAAACTGAGACACATTCACCTCAAATCTGCAAAAACCATTGCAACTCATGGCACCATACAGAAATGAAATGGCAGCCAAAACAATTGCCTTCAAGCAGCTCCAGTGAATCCACAGCATAATAACACAATGACAAAGAACCAACCAAACATAAGTAAAACACTTTAATGGGGTTTCCATAAAGCCACACCCCCAGTAGCAGTAAGAGAAGCAAACATTAACACCAGGCAACTCAACCAACAACCCCAACCAGGCAGGCCAAACGAACAGATAGCACAAAGAGCCAAACAACAAAACCTCCAGACCCACAACTAAGAAAGCAAAATCATTTATTTCTGATATAAGGTAAACTAATCTTATCCAGATTTACCAGCCCCTTCAAATTAAGAGGCAAAGAAATCACATCAAACTCCCTTTCCTCCTCCAACCTACTACTAAGTTTAGCCAAGCAATCAGCACACGCATTGCCCTCTGTAAACACATGATTAACGAATAGTTAAGCTTAGAGAGGGCCAAACGAATATTCCTAATAATGTAAAAAAACTGAGGAGAAAAAGTATCCATATTTTTGATAATATTAATGAGACTTAAAGCATCCACCTCAATCTCAATATTTAGAAGACCTATACTATTGCAAATGATAAGACCTTTAAGTAACCCCATTAGCTCAGCAAAAATGACTTTACACAGAGATAAAGGGCCCGCATAAGCCACAATCACTTTGCCAACATTGTCACGCACAAGACCACCAAAACCAGCATGCTGATTGTCAACAGAACCAGCAGTATTAAGTTTGACATAAGGAATAACAGGTTTAATCCAACGCACGATCCTTTCCCTACTCATCACAACCTCTATATGTATAGGAATACCCAGATACACACACAAAGCATCACAGTGAGTACAATTTTTAGTAGAAAGAAGCTTGCGAGCAAAAATTTGAAGTAATTTATGATTAACATTGGAAATAATGCTTTTATCCTCCATATTTCTCCCCTCATGCTTCGCCTCATTGCGAGCTTTCCAAATAAACCACAAGATAGTAATATGTAATAAATTAAGCACATGACCTTTGACATTAGACATCCAAACAGTTAAAAAAGACTGAATACCATTCATAACAGTAGAATAAAAAACAGGAATAGGTTTATTAACCATCAAAGCATAATGTTTCCATACACTTTGAGCAATCTTACCGAAAAGAAACACATGATTAATACACTCAATGTTAGAGCAGCATAAACATTTAGAAGGTAAATATAAACTAATTATTTCTTTTGTTTGAATTAGGAGGGATGGATCAGTACTTTGAAGTGGATTCGGAAGTAGCTGAAGCCCTCAATAGAATAAGACGAAGGAATACTATTGTGCCAAATAGAATCATAAACATTAGAAACCTCCTTCTTATTCCTAAATATCTCCCAAACCTTTTTAATATTAAAGATACCATTAGTAGTCATATTAAAAAGGATACGGTCATCTTCCAACGTTTTTAAAGGGGTGTTCAAAACAAGATGCAGAATGCTATCAAGTAAGATTTGTTTAAGTTTATGACCATCCCATTGATTATTGTCAAAATAAAAGCTCACCTTAGTATTACTAGGAGTATGAGAAGTGATCATACTATCAATAGAGCCTTGACCAAGCCAATTATCCTGCCAAAAATAGACATCCCCTTTACCCAAACCCCATTGAATAAGAGGGTCAGCATACCAACTAATATTGCATAATCTCTTCCAAACTGAAGAGTCAGTCTTTTTAAATTGGATTAAAGTGGGATGCCTCTCATTACAGTACTTAGTAAACATGAAAATAGCCCATAAACTAACTTTCGATCTAAAAGAGAACTAAAGTTTGTAAGAAAAAGCCTGCACCATATCCAGAATATTCTTACAACCTAAGCCACCTTCATTGAAAGGGCCACACATATTCTGCCAAGAAGACCAAAGAATACAAGATTTATTATTATTAGCACCCCAAAAAAACTTGTTAATTAATCTTTCCAATCTAAGGCATATGGAAGGAGACGGGTTCATAGTATGAAAAATATAAATCGGAAGAGAATTAAGAACATGTTTAATAAGAACCAATCTGCCACCAAAGGAAAGAAAATTCGAAGACCAATTACAAATTTTGCTTTGGAAAATCGAAATCATATCCTCAAAGAGCATACTTTTCTTACGCCCCTTGTAAATAGGGGTCCCAAGGTACTTAAAAGGCAGAGCATAGCAATTGAAACCACAAATCCTTTTAATATCATTAATTTTACCTTGGCTAGTAGACTTAGAAACAATAAACATACTTTTGTTCTTGTTAATGAACAGACTACTGATAGTTTGAAATTCCTCAAGATGCTTAACAAGAAACTTAACATTAGTAAGAGAATTATTAGCAAAGATAATGAAATCATCAGCAAAACTGAGATGGGTGATAGGAATACTATCCAAGGTACGATAAAACATGTTAGGGTGTCTCTTATAAAGAACCTTCAATCCCCTAGATAAATAATCAGCAGCAATAATGAATAAAGTAGAAGCTCTTCTTGTTGTTTGAATTAGATTAGCAATTTGAACTATACTGTTGGCCATCATTGCAATATACTTAAAAAGACTATAATCATTAGCAGACCTTTTACTCTTTTTCCTTTATGACCCCTTAGAAGATGATGACGTTGCTCGCTTTGTCGTTCCTACAAGGTGTTATCTAATATTGTGCTCAAGACAATCTACATCACTAATGTATCTACAGCAGTCTCCATAATACCAACCGTCTCATCATCATCTAAGTTAATATGTTGAGTATTGAACTCAGCTTGATAATTTTCTGACCTAGCCCAATCTTCAATTGCATGGCCTTCCCCACAAACTTGAAAGAAATGAGAAGAAAGATTGCAGAGAGAGAGAGGAACCGGTAAAACAGAGAAAAGAGAAAGTGTATTTCATATATCTGAAAGAAGAGTACAGAGGTCTATAAATAGAGCATTTACAGGTAAAGTGGTAAATACAATAAAGTAGGGAGAACTAATATGATCCGAAGGATAACACTCCCCCCGCAAACTAATCATTTGTGGAACGAATGGTTAGTTTGGAGCGAAGTTCATTAAATCGAGTGGATTGGAAAGGTTTCGTTAGAATGTCAGCGATCTAATCTTTGGAGGAAATATGC